TGTAATATTTTAATTTTTTTAAAAACCTATTTTAAACTTCTAGTAAGACTAAGTCAAATGCCTTCTTTATATTTTATAAGAGTATTTACAGTTTTTTGTTTTTCTCTTATATCTCTTTTATTATTATATTTAATATATATTAATTGCTTTGTTGAATTGCTTAACAAACCTATATAGTTTGGCTTTTTGAGTATCTTCTTTTTTGTAAACATCTTGATCAGTTTCTTTGTTATTAGTTTTGTGATAACTTTTCTGAAAGTTTCAATTAGTGCTATTAGTCTAATATTGTTTAGACTATATTCTTAGTTTATATTTTTTAAAATTAGATATACTTAGATTATTTTTTATTTCTTTGATATTTTTTCTTTTTTTAAGATCAGATTTGCAAAGGCTTTAAAGATTTTTTGCAACTTTTTTTCTGCTTTCTTTATTAGTATATAGTTTATACTTGATATTTCTAAAGCTATATTAGTCTTAAGTTCTTTTAATATGTTTTCTTATTTTTTTTTCTTTATTTTTTTTTTAATTTCTTGTATTTTTTTTTTTTCTTAAGCAGTTATAGTAATACTTTATTAAACTATTTGTAACTACATATATAAATACAAAATATTATTTAATTTATAAGTCTATTATTATACAGCTACTCAAATAATACTTAAATATAATCTACTGCACTAATCTAGTTAGAACTAGAAATTATAACTTATTTGACCTCTATTCTACAATAAGATACCACTAATCTGAAAACATCTTCTTATAAAGAAGAAAACAATAAAAAAAAAAGAAAATAATTTTAAAGTTAAAGAAAATAAAAATAAAAATAAAGAATAAAATAAAACTAGCAAAAAAAAATTAAAACTAATTTATAAAAAAAATAAAAAAAGAAACCTGTTAACAGAATAAAACTCTATTTTATAATTGCTGCTTATTATAATATTTTTATATTTTTATGAACTATGGCTATTTTCTAGAAACTAGATATTCTTAATCTGAATAAAAACTATATTTACTTGTAAAACAGAGTTTGAGTTGAACACTTCCTATATAAGAAAAATCTTCAAGTAGTTAGGATACTGTACTAAGATTTAAAGTATACTTAAGTAGTCTAATTTTTTATAATTATTTTTTTTAAAAAATATTATGCACATAGCCTCAAAATATATGTATATCTCAATATATTTTTGGTCTTTCTAATTTAAATTCTTTTCTAATCTGCTCTATATGATTAGCTAACTTATATATTTGTTGTATTCCTTATTTGCCATGTCCAAACAAGCATGTAATCACAAAAAAAAATAATGCACAATATTGATCTTTTGATAGAAATAAGCCAAATTTTTGCTTTTTGAAAAAAAACAAAAAAGAATGAAAAAAGAGTATATTGTTGTTGCAAAAGTCTAAGTTAAGAAGAGTTTTTCTAGTTCTTTTTTCTTTTGCTTCTAATATTCTTAATCAGAAAACTGATTTTGTCTTTATTTATTTTTAGAATATTCATTTAGTTTGGATATTGAATATGTGAGAGAGTTTATTAAACAAAAAGTTTAATCCAAAGCAAGAACCATACAAGTTTTATTTACTTCTTGGTATATCACATACTTGAGTTTTGTCAAAAACAAGTTTATTTAATGTAAAACTAAGAATATTATTCTTTTTAAAGTCAGAGTCTTTAATCTACTTTTAGTACCAACTTGATCTAAATAATCATTAAAAAGAGTTAATATTGATTTTGTTAATTTTTTGTATTATATTTTATTGATCTATTTTTTATTTTTTAGATATTTTTTTTAGCTTGGTTTTTCTTTTTTTAAATTAATTTTTAAAATGTTTTGACAATTTGTTTAAGACTATGTTTAACTTTATTATTAAATTAACTTTTTTTTTGTTTTGTATTATAAATCTGTTAAGTGTTATCTTTTTTGTATAGTTTGTTTAGCAGGTTAGCAATTATTTATTTCTATTTCTATAACTGTACTAATATAGAAGGTTTTTTGTTTGCCTTGTTATGTTTTTTTGTTTGTTGCTATATGTTACTTTGTCTATTTCTAAATTGGTTACTTATATGTATTTGCTATTGCTTAATCTGCTATATAGTTTTTGTGTATTGTAAACAGATCTATATTCAGAGTCAAGTGACAATTTTCATAGTTATCATTTTATTGCTAAAATTTTCTAAAAAATTTTGCTTTCCTTTTATAACTGCTTTGCTAGCACTATATTGCTTCAGATTCTTATATTTGTTTAGTGTATTTTTTGGTACTACTTCTTTAGTTTAGTGCTGTCTGAGAAGTTTCTTATTAATGCTTGTAAGAAAATTTAGTTTTTCTTTCTTGTTAATTTTGTGTTTGAGTGATTATTAAGAAAAGTGTTTTGATTGATTCTGATTTTTCAAACATGCTTTTATTTTCTTAGTTTTATAAATTTATATAATTACAAAAACTTATCTTAAATTTGTAATGCCTAGTACTGATTTGCATATTTCTGTATAATTAAAATTATACAAATTTTTTATAATTTGTCAATCATGTTGGTATAATTATAGTTACAAATATTTTGTTTCAATTAATTAATAAAAAACAGTTATTAAAACAAAATAAAAATCCAAATTTTTACTATTAGTAGATTTTGAACTTTTAACTTGTTACTTAAAGAAGTAACAACTTATTTATTTTACTAAGTTATCATACTTATCAATTTTAAAATTAATTTTTAATATATATAATAGATCAAATAATAAACTAATTTTTTATATATAATTACTAACTTTTATATTTAGATAAGTTTTAACTATTTTAGTTAGTTTAGATTATAGATAAATTAGTTTAAATTTTTATTCTTTTTATAATATTTTAAAAATAAAATTTTATTTTATAAAAAAATTTAATTATAAAAATAAAAGTATAACTATTATTTAATATTAAAAATTTATATATATATATCTTTAATAATTTTAAAATTTTATAATTAAATTTTAATAATTTTGTATTTATTAAATTATTTTACTAAGATAATAATTATTTTTATTTTTGGTGTTAAGATGACCTCTTGGGTCTCTAAAATAATTATTTTAATAATAAAATCATTCAAAATAAACCAGTAAATTAAAAAATTATTTGCAAAAAAATAATTAATTATAATAGTTTCTTTTATTTATAATTTAACTTTTATATTTTATTAATGTACTAATTATTTATATTTAAAAATACTGTATGTGTATTATATAAATATTTTTTACAGTATATTATTCTTTATTAAACATAATTTAAATAATAATAATTGTATAAAAATTTATATATTTATTAAAAAGTTTTATTAGTAAAAAATTTAACCTGACTACAATATTTTTATTTATTTTATAATTACTAGATTAGTAACCAAAAAATTTAATCTAACTAAAATAATAGTGTCTATATAAAATGAATTTTTCTATATTTTAATAATTACTAGAATAGTAACCAAAAGAATATAATTTTTTTTTTTTATAATTTGTAACCATAACAAGAGTAACTATATGAAGGTTAGAGACTAAGTTTTTATTATAATTATATATACAATAAAAATTTACACGTATGACATATCGTGACTAATACCTGTATCATGTCGTAAATAACAGTATTATACGTAAGAATTTGATTTCAAAAGAAAAAGGTTTATTATTAATTTTTTTTTTTTTTTTTTAACTTATTCGTTTATAGATTTTATAGATATATTAAAGAAAATAAAAAACAAAAAAACCTAATATATATATATATACATATGTACATACATACGCGTCTACGTAAGTACTTATACATGGTATATATAACAAAGAAATAATTGAAAAATTATACAAGAAAAAACTACGAAATTTATTTTTATGATCGAATCAGAAAATCAGAAAATCAGAAATGTAAAATTGTATAATAAAAGGTGGTGTTGATTTAATTGATAAATGATAAATTTATATAACGATAGAATGAAAAAAAAACTATATCTTTTTAAATGTGTATATATATGTATAAGTTATGTATACAAGGAATATGATAGCACGTTACGGGCGATTATTGCAAATTTTTATATAGTATATATATAATGTGAAGTATTACAATAAAAACAGGTTCGGGTGAAAAAAAAAATATATCTTTCGTTTATATTATTTTATAAAAATCTCTACCGGTAAAGAAACTTGCTTGTAAAATTATGTTAAAATTAGAGGGATGATCTTGGGTTTGAGCATGTTTGATTATTATCTTTTTTTTTTTTTTTTTTTTTTATATTTTTTATATGTAAGAGTAATTTGTCCTTGCATTTTTTACTTTGAGAAAAAAAAACAAAAACAAAAAGAAATAAAATAAAAACCATCAATAAGAGAAAGGGAGAGAAAGTATTGACAAGAAAAAAAATAGAAAAAATATACAACATAATTCGACCGAAACAAAGTTATTGTAACGACCGAAATTAAGAAAAAGAATATTAACAATATAAACAATTAACTAACACATATCCGTATAAATTTACACATATAAGAGCCAACCGGTTTTCAGTACCGTGTATTTAAAAAAAAACCACCGATAAAAAATGACGTCATATGTTCATCCATATATAAAAAGAAATAATAATCAAAGTATATATAATTGAGCACATCAGTGCTCGAAAATTAATAAAAGAAAACGTATGTTCAAAAAAAGAACACGCCGGCTGGATAAAGTCTATTTAACTCCCTTAAAATGCAAATGTAAAATTTCACCCGAACAATGAATGCAGCATTGAAGGAGAGGCGAAAACAAACCGTGAGGAAAAAAAATAAAAAAAAATTAAAAATGGATCCATGCATGGTTTAAACGATTATGCTGCACAAGAAAAAACATTTTAAAGCTTAGTAAACGAAAAAGATATAAAAATAAGTGGGAAGCGAGAAAAGAAAAAAATAATCGCTAACATAAAATTCGAAATTTTCGAAAGTTCGTTTGGGGATATCCAACACAGAAGGTTAGAGGGAAAGAGAAGAGAGAGAATATAATCATTTATAAAGAAGGCTTTCTCCTAGTGGGCTTTTTTATGGCACCATTTTTTTGAATTCTAGGACATGTTTTTACAGGATGACGCCTCATGAATCTGCCGTTATCCGAAGCGCTATCTTCTAATAAAAGAGAAAAACAAATTATAAAAAAGAATAAAAAAAAATAAAACAAACAGATAATTAATAAAAAAAAATAAAAGACAAATAATTACCAATAGAATTTTCGGAGGTTTCGTAGGTATAGATATCAAGTTCATTAGAACTCCTAGAATTCATTGAATTACCGTTGACAAAGTCGGATTCGAGCAGATGAGGTAAATGTCTTCGTCGTGCATTGATGAACCAGTTTGAAATTTGTTGGAGGCTTAATCTTGTTTCTTTAGCGAGGGCAGACTTCTCTTCTTCAGTCGGATACGGATGCTTTTTGTGTTGGGCCAGCCAGTTTTTTAATAAGGCTGTTGTAGATTTTGGTAAGTTTCCACGCCGTCTTTTTGGTGGTTTGATAAGAGTCTCATCTACAGTTTGGTGGTCTTGAGAAATAAGATGATGGTGACTGTAAATAGATTCAGATAGCATTGATGTTGGTAATGATTGTGTAGTATCCATCATCGAGTCACGATCGAGAATAACTTTGTTTTTTTCATAAGCTAACAAATTACAGGATTATAGAATTAAAAGATTATATAATTGCGAAATTATGGGAATAAATAATAATAATAATAATAATAATAAATACTAATAATAGTATTATTATTAGTATTTATTATTATTATTATTATTATTATTATTATTATTTTATTATTATTATAAAATAAAATTAAGCATATTTACCTCTGCAACCTTCAATTACAATTCTCCAATATTGGCTGTTTGTGTTTAACATATCGTCGACACGTTTTTTATTGTTTCTGATCATTTCATTATGGTCTTCGTCCGCTGGACATATATGGGAAGCGTATTCATGTCCATAATCATTTTGTCGGCAGATTGGTTCATGAAAGAGGACAACGGGACAGAAGACTCGAAGCTAAATCGAGAAAAGTCGAGGAAAGTTGAAAAAAGCCGAGGAAAGTCGAATTAACAGAGTTAGAAATTATAACAGAATTAGAAATTATAATGGAAGAATAAATCATGTAACAAAAATAAAGATGATAAAATGTAATAAGGAAATTCATTGCATTACCTTTTTTTCGTTGTTGTTTAAATACATGGTTTTGATTTTAACAATAAAAAAAACGTACAAGAAAGAGAGATTTTTTCGTAGACCAATATATCTGTTAATGCGACTCCTTAATTCGTTAAAATTTTTTTGGCAAGGAAAGATTAAAAGTCGTATGAAAAGAGAAGAGGAGGATGCCGAAGGAAGTTGGGGCAAAAAGTGGATGTATTGGGATTAAAAACAGATTCCTCGTCCAAAATGAACACTCGGATAGACACCTAAAGGCGGCGTGAAAGAAAAATGTCTTAGCGTGTTCGTCGTTTTGGCTAGAACGGAAGAAGTCGCCTTTTTAAATCTGAATAAGGTTGATAGCTGAGAAAGAAAAAAAACTGAGGTTTAAATAAAATATGCAAGCATTGAAAAAAAAATTTTTTTATATATGGTCTAGTAGTATAACAACGACTCTCTTTACAAACATTAATACCGTAAAATATGAACACAAAAAGCGCACACACTTTTTCCTGCCGACATTAAAATGTAAACTAAATCAAAAGTTTATTTTATATCAATATGCATGTGAAACTATAATGTTTTTTTTTTTTTTTATACATGTAGTACAATAAAAACAATACCCTGAACATATCAGATATACACAAAGTTCGGAGTACAATAGACACAATAGATTATTCATTATTACATTTCTGTAAACTGAATGTATGTGCATTAAATCCATTAAAATCATTTAACGTTAAAAAAAAAAAAAAAAAAAAAAATGTTATGATTTTACCCCACCATTGAACTTGATATAATTTGATATCACAGGTTTCTCATGGCTCCACATTACCATAAAGAATAAATTAGTAAAAAATTAGAATAAATAGATTGGTTATTTCTTTTTTGATTAATTATTTCTTTTTTAGGATACGAGAATCCGCTTTGACCTCAATTTTTTATAAAGATAGTAATACTTTAACATATATACATATAGACATATAAAAAGAATAGAAGAGTTATAAACAACAGTATACCTTCGCGTAATTGAAACATAGACTGACGGTCAATGTAGTAAGAAAAAAAAAAAGGTCCAATTAATTTAATTAAAACTAAAAGAAACTTTGGGAACAATTGTGATGAGAATCTTAACTTTAACGGACTATACCATATTATCCAATGCGTCTAATATAAACCAATTAAGAAAGATTTACGACAATTTAATAAAGATCGAAAAAAGAGATTCGTGGGTATATTTTCTAATTTGCGCATCATGCTGGATTACCAGCCTAATCACGTAGTAATAATACATCGGTAATAATACATCGAATCACATGAACTGTACGAAGATCTTTTCAAGTAAATATGTCTACGCGTGATAATATAATAAAAAATGAAGCTTAACGTTAATATTAGATTAATTTAATTATTACGAGTACCGTAATCGGAAGATGAGAATTTCAATTGACCGAGAAAATATATAATCCTTAAATATTAATTGGAAAATATTAAATGATGAAAATATTAATTAAAGATATTTAATTGATAATTAAAAATATTAATTAAAAAATATTAATTGAAAATATTAATTGAAAAATAATTATGATCGAACGAGGAAATTAAATGAAAAAGAAAGAAATGAGGAAATCAAACAAGCGAGAAAAAGCAATAAACGAGAAGAAGCTTTAACATAAGTTACATATAATTAATTAAGCACGAAATAGATAAACACTAAATTTAGGTAATTGTTAGTTTCGGGGATACCTTGCATACATGGTTCACCATGACTGCATACGGATACCATGCTGCGCCAGATCTACAAATAATTCGACAATTTCTATGCCTTTGATGAATTATCAATTTTTATCTTGAGAAATAATTGGATTTTTAAATGTTTGTGTATAAACAACGTAACAAACAAAAGAAAACAGGAAATGATTATGAATTGTTCATTGACGTAAATGTTTGTTTTCTCTACCCGTTTACGAACAAGGCAATCAGTAACACCAAAGATTAGCAATTAATACGCGCGTCAAAAGCCCTTTCAATTCTAATGATTTGTTTGTTGCACAATGTTCAGATTGTTCAATACTCGGCTGACGATTAAGAATTTGTAATACATGATATGCACGGATTAACGATATATGGCAAATTAAGGAATCTGTTATTGAAGAGAATTCTGATTCACTGAAACATGCTTTATTGTCATTTTGATAACGATAATAGCATAAATTTATTATATTCGTATACAGTACCTATTATTTTGTACTCGTTTTTAATCCATTTTTTAACTCATTTTTTAACCATTTTTAATTAATTTTCATCCACACATCTCCATGTTTACCCATGTTTATCCAATTCCACCACTTTTATTACTCTTAATTATTTTACACATTTTTACCCCCACTTACCTATTTTTCACCGTGTTACCTTAAAATTTAACAAATAATGATACGTAATTAATAAAAGATAAGATGAAGTGATGCACACGCGAGTCATGAACATATATAAAAACCATATCTCAATCAGTTTAAATTATATAGAAATTAAAAAGACATGCGTAATTAACATATCGATATACATGTCAAATAACTGTCAAAGCTCTGTGAAACACCCCACAAAAAAAACGTGATCCGTGCGCCATCGGGAATATAATAAAACAGAATAATTGATGAATAATAATTTTTTTTATTTTATGAATAAATAATAAATTATGAATAATATATAAAATACCTTTGTTTATTATAATAAATTTCCAAATATAGAGTATATTAAATAAAGATTTGTTTTTAATTCTTTCGAATCTAATCAAGGTCTATAAAGATAAATTGTTCATGGTTTAAAGTCTTACAACATATTACCCCACCTTTAAAATTAACAAATGTGGTATATTTCTCAAGAACTGAGTTGGTCAGAGTTGGTCAGAATTAGTCAGAGTTGTTAATGATATTCTGTAAATCGGTAAAGCTTTGGTTTTGTTTTTTTTCTCTATTGTTTATATCATACATTGTACACCTTTTGAGTGGCGTCTCTTTACACAACTTTAAAACCTGTTATTTAATGTTTAGTTGCATATCAATTTTACTAACACGCTTTTTAAAGCTTCTTTTTAAAAAAATATTTTCATCAGATCATCGTGTAAAGCAATGATCATAAATTTTTTAAGTATATAGTGATGACATATCGATCATTAACGATCTGATTTTTAAATAATCAGATTTGATTAGATTGTCACTAAATTACTGAATTATTGTAAATCGTATTTATGATACTGCGCCTCATATAACAATGACATTATCGTTATTAAATAAAAACTATCTACAGTACATAAGTACATAAGTACATAAGTACATAAGTATATAAGTATATAAGTATATAGTGATGGAAAGTTATTGTGACACTTCGCATTGATCAAAAAAAAAAAAAAAAGCAATATTACATTATTGGTCTGATTATTTGCGCCCAATAGTTTTATATGGGTTAAATGGTAATAATCTGTGGAGATGACCGGCTTTTTGAGAATTTTGCGGGGATGAATGATCCCATACCATACATACCATACCATTAGTTTAATAGGACAAACGGTTCCTCTTGATCTGCCTGAACGCTCAAGACATCTGATTTGAGTAATTGGCGTTTTACATAAAGTATAGATAAAGTATAGGTATGTTTAAAAATGTATATCCACATAATATATATGAATTGGTATCTACATTGAAGCTAATTATAGAATCGATCAACTGCACCATGATTAGACCAACAGAAAATACAAAAACACAAAAATACATAAATACAATAGAATAAATCCTTTTTTTGTCCAATTAGAAAATTTGCGCCCTCGTGCATTATTTGTAAACAAAATACCCGGATTTCGAAATACCACTCAAAACATTCTAATATATATTGTATATATGATATTGTATTGATAGGATATGATAGAATACGACTCAGGGAATTCAATTATGCAGGGTTTTTTTTTTTTATACGACAATAATGCGTCCAAGTGTATCACAATTTTTTTCACATCCAAGTGGAAAAAAAGGTTCATTGTTCAGAGATATCCCGTCCCACGTTGATCATGTGCGTTGTCTTGTGCGGTTTAAATTTGTGGTCAACAATATCGCATTTACGGTTACTTACATACCTATGTACCTATGTACCTATGTATATATGCTAATTAAGGTCGTATTTGCAAGGACCCCTAAGAACGCAAGATAACGTCCTTATGTAACATTGTTTTGAATTAATGGCCATAGGACAATCTTGATATGTTAAGGTACCATGGTTAATTATACGTAATTGTTTTCATACGCCTCAAATATTGTAAAAATCATTATTCTATGATTATAATTTTAGACAGGGAACAAAGAACAGAATCTTCTTTAAAACTTCCTCTGCCTTAAATGGAATGTGATTGATCAAACACAATGATGCATTGTCTTAAAATAATGCAGATGCTGCCTCTTGAATGGATTGGCGCATCACATCATTTTTCTTGTTTAGCCAAATTTTCTAACCTTCTCCACCTTTTTTCCGTTCCTGTGTAATTATGTATCTATGAAAGAGATGATCATCTCTGTAATACTTCCTTTTCCGTTTTCTTCTCATACTTTGATACACATGCCCCTCGTAAATTGAATTGTGCTGTGAAAAAAAAAAAAAGATGTGCGATGCACCTACAGACGGTCGATACTTGGAAGGTGTAGTGACGCATTCCCCCATGTTTTAACTTGTCTTTTATGGTGTGTGAACTTTTGACTCTTTTTCTGCCTCATGTATGCACTTTACCAGAATAATAACCACAATAATACCTACACTTGACACCAAGTGACCCAATTATAAGAACTTTAAAACCCCACACCCCATCATATATATTTGTAAGTCTTTGACGAATTGCCATATCCGTTAAGATCTTTCGTTGTTGAACATTCTTTAAAAATCGTGCACATGTCACGATCCCATCTTTTTAATCTATCCCATCTTGTAATTCTTATTTATACGCAAATTATACCTGGATTTCCGCAGCAACCACTTCGTTCATCTGATTTATATCAATTATCTTCGCTTCAATATTAGCCCTGTTTGTTTAATCTCATCAAAAAAAGATGTACTTACGTACGTACCTACCTATTATGTTTGTCACACTTGCATCATTATAACCTTTTATATTTCTTATAACCGTTAATCTTCATTTATTGTTGTACGCTAAATTTCTGTTGTCCATTGTTGACTTTTGTAAACAATTTTTTGACAGCTTTGACAGAATCGTTGACATATAATATATACTATACCATATACATATATATATATATTATATATATGCTTTATTTAATAACTTTCGTAACTTTCATCAAAATTTTGGATATATTCGTCAAATAAAGGAATATATGTGATATTATCTCCCCTTCTTATTATGTACTGTACGTACATACCCTTCGTACGTGCGTATGTATCTTTTTTTGATACTATTGCCAAATATTATATCTTTTATCTTTCATACTACATTTTATCTATTTTATCTTTTGCTAAAAAAAAAAATCGATTTCCTTTGTCAAGTAATCAATATTTTTCTATTTGTTCTACTTAAAAAATTCTTAACCTAAGATCTTGCATTGATCTAACTTTAATAAACTCTTTTTATTCCTACTATTGCCATGGTAACAATGGCATCCTGAATAATCTATTTCTAAATCTGGTTACTAATTTTCACTTCCAGAAACGATTAACAAGAAATATCTCTGTGGCATAGCATCAAAAAATATCCTATTTGGTTTATTAATTTTGATAATATCGTTATATCTTTTAAAAGATAGCATTTTTTTATACTGTACTCATGTGATCCAAATTATACGTATTACGTAAAATTACACGGCTGATGTAGGATTGTACGTATATAGTTTACAATATAGCCATAATTAAAAAGTAATTTTATAACAATAATATCAATTATATTAACTATTATTTTTTAAAACTATTATATTTATTATATATATTTATATTACCTAAATATATTGATACTACAAGTTAAATAAATTATAGTTTGATTAACAAAAGTTACTATATAATTATATAATATTGTATAAAAATATAGTACTATATTATATTATTAATTTAAATAATTAATTAAAATATACTAATTGAATTTGTAAAATTAAATAATATTTATATTATTTTATACATATTATAATACTATTAGTATATATTTTTTTCTAAACAGTTATACTTATATTTTATTAAAATTTTAAAATTATACTATATAATGTTATTTAATATATAAACCTAATATTATCTAATTACTTATTTAAACAACTTGTTATAGTAGTTTTTTAAAAACTAAAAATAATAATTTCAATTGTCTTATAATAAAGTATTATTAATTTAATAATATTTTTATAAAGTAAAAAAAAAAGTAAATTAATTATATATATATATATAATTTAAAATAGCAAAAAATATTTAATATCTTTTTAAAACTATTTAATATTATATAATTAAATTTAATTAACTAATTTTAATTTTTTTTATTGTTAAAAACCAAACTTATAAAATGCACCTATGGTGTTGAACATCATATAAAATTTTATTAATAAAATTTAAGATTAGAGTACAGTTTTAGAATAAAGAAAAGTTTTATATATTATAATATAAATTATATATAAGGTTCCAATTTTAGTTCTTATGAGGTTTTTATAGATCCTGAACATTTTTACTTAGAGTATCCAATTTTATTTACTTAGTATGTTTTTAAAAAATAGTATTTATAGTATTTAGCACTATAAGTGCATTTTAGTAAGCTTTGTTAAAAATTATATTTTGCAGCAATAATTTATTAATAATTTAAAATTAACTAATACAATCATTTTTTATAAACATAAAAATAACTAATTATATATACAATCTTTAGTTATTTATTTAAACAGTTTATTTTTTAAAGTTCTATTCTAGATATTATATTTATAATTTATTAGAAAATTATCTATTTAAATTTAATTATTTGTTTTTTACTAAACCTTAATCTGATAACTAATCTTTTATATATACTTATATATAAAAATGTAAATCCTATAGCTTAGCAGTTAAACTCTCATACCCTTCATAGTCAAGGTTAACAGTTCAAGTCTAACTGAAAGCAAAATTAAAAAATTTTAGCTTCTGTAATCTAATAAGAAGTTTATAATTAAATACAAAATTCTGTGATGAAATTCAAATGCAATACAATAATAGAAATAAAAATTTCTGAAAGAAAACCTAATTATAAAATGCAGACATTATATGTAACAAGCAGTTATTACAAAAAGTTACAGTTATAAAAAGATTGTATATATAAGTTCTTTAAGCTAAAACAGCATTAACATCCTTACATCTCCTAATATAGGCAGTACTAATATTCTTGTACCTAACTTGTGAGGTACTTATTTGAAAAAATAATCAATAAATTGTACAAATAAGTCTTAATTAGGATCTAAAGAGAGAATTTGATTAGAAAAGTAGTCTAAAAATAACTAAGGCTAAAATGATGAGAAAAAGTATAAATACAAGAATAGGCTGTATTAAAAGATTGGTTTAACCAAAATTGAAAGCATTTTTAGCATAGTCAAATAATCTAATTATAAAAGAAAAAATCTTAAAGGTTGGTATGTAACTTCCTTATATAATATAAAGACATTAAATTGGGTTTTAGTTGTATCTATATGAAAGTTTATAATAAACAAGACTAAGATCAACTAATCAATATGAAATAAAATCTGCAAGATAGTATAGCATCACTGAGGTTAGTAGAACTCTCTAGACATAATCAAAATTGTTTTACAAATATTATTAAATAAGCTAAGAGCTTGCAATATATAGTAATATAGTATTATTAAGGTTAAAAGAACTTTCTAAGCATAATCAGAATTGTCCTGTTTATAAGTACAACAAGTCTCAGTTTCTATCATAAAAAAGAGCACTATGTTAAAGATTAAATATAGCATCAAGTTATTGTATGATATTAAGACCTAAAGCATCTGCAAGAATGATAATAGCAAATTTGATTTAAGATACAGATTGGTCAAAAAGACCAATGGCATCAGCAGATCTGGCTTGAAATATGGGTTTATTGCAGATTTTGAACTATCATCAGAACATCTTAGAGAAATCAATAACAGATATATCAAAAATGAAAAATTATAAAGATCAGACATACTAAGTAGAACTAATTTGGAAGTGATATAGTAACAAAAAGATAAGAAATGTAGAAAATAAGATAATACTAGATATAGTTAGATTAGAAGCCAGAAAAAACAAGACTAGATAAAACATATAAATGGGACATATAAATACAATTTACAGAAGACAGTACTATCAGTATTTGGAATATTATATTGTAATAGAATTTATTTTTTTCCTATATTAGTATATATTTATTTTTAGCTCTATATTATATTTTATAATTTTC